TTAACATATGCAACCAGTTAGGCCATGTAAAGCAGATATATAACTACATGTTTCAGAAAAATAAGCTTCAATACTAGTCAACAAGGGAATTGTACTGTTCAAAAAAGTACACTGCACAAACTACATGTCAACAATGTTGTAAACTAATTCTAGTTTTAGAGAAGCACCTTGCTTTCCTTCATCCAAGGCAGAACTGATCTTGGAGAAAAGAAAAGCCTTTTAATGTTATCAGTGCTTTCTGTAGTTATTTAGACTAGGGGATGCTGAAGAGTCTAAACTCACTTGAAGCAGTTATGGCATCACACAATAATTTAACCAGTAGGAACATAAATTCTGATTTACAGTGTTCCATGTTCTATACTAGAGACATTTAAATAAAGGAGGGAAGAAAGTAAGCAATGAAGTATTTAAAAAAACCAGGTACAAAATTGCTAAAGTAAAGGTCATTGGTTGTATGTTAGCAAAAGCACTCAAGCTACACCTGAAGAATTAGCTCAACATGTCATTAGCACAGCACTTTGCATTTGAAAAGTTTAGTGTAGGAACAAGATCAGTTCCCACAGAAAAGTCAGTTCCATAATCATTGTCACAATATGATCATGTCTACAAACTTCAACTAACAGATGCTAATGTCCTAAAATATTAAATATTAAATCAGGATACTGGTATTTCCTTAAAGGATTGTGGGTTGGTTTTTTTCAAATCTCAGCAGTTTTCAGAATTTTTTCACTCATGGTTTTCTCTCTCACATACAAGCTGGGTACGTGAGAATATGATTTACTAAGTACACACGCTATCTGTTATCACAAACCATTCCACTGTCTTTACTCCTACCAGCTTGTTTTTGACATTTACTGCAAACTTCTCATGCAAATCCAACTTCCATGGGGTCACAAACCACATGTCTCTCAAAATTTGAGAGTCATACTCAACCTAAAGACGCTACCTCTCAGTGCTTTCATTGCCATGGAAAGGAGCAGAGCCTAGGGAAGAAACATTTTCCCAAGGTGGCTCTTGCAGCCTTTGGAGATTCCAACACTCCCTGCTCCAAAAGTGCAATTGCTTTCACAGCACTTACGAATACTCCCAACACTGAGGCAGAACAACATGCCAGAGGCTAGTTTCAGTTCACCTCCATGAGAAAAATCTCTTGGAATACTACCAAATTCAGTAGGGACTCAGGACTTCATTATTCCACATTCAGGCAGGTTAGAGATTGCCTTTAGCTCATTCCATGGAATTTAAGGGGTTTAGTCAAGGTGAAACAGGGGGTGGTCTCCTTGCTTTAGCAAGGCAGTCAGTCCTTGATCTTAGGATCTTCTTTCACCATCACTGAGAAATAAGACCTTCTCCTTTTCTGGTCCAAATCAGTTCAAGAATTCTGTTGGCCCGAGCCACCACAACGCATAGTATAAAAGATTCTGGCTGGCTCCTGTCCCAACAGGATGACCGCTCTTGGCACTGCAGGGAGATGGTCATGGAAAGTAGAAAACTGGGCAAGCACAGCTCACTGTGCTTAAATCAGCTGTTCCCACGGGTCTGTTTCCTACTTGCAGGCCTCTGTTCTTGATCCAGACTACTTACTTGGACCCAACATGTGAGGTTTCAGCTCATTCTTTTCTAGTGAAGGGAATACATTTTAAAATTATGCACTGCAAGAAAAATGCTTGCAGAAGGCCTTGAATTCCCTCTTTTTAAGAAATCATTCCACAGACTGAGTCTAGGGTATGAGACATTCAAGATGTCCTTACTGTCACAGCTACTAGAAAGTTGTTCATCGTTGTCTTTCTGAAACTGTTGTTCTCATTACCGACTGAATCTGCAAAGAGTGGCAGATATCCTAGCCCTTCCAGGGAATCCTCTTTATTTTGTTCTCACTAGCAATGAAAGTTCCCCAGCAATAGATCCAAGAATTTACATCTACATGAATACGGAATTAAGTGTTAAATGTATCATGTCTTGCACAGTGATGCAAGACTGAAAAGAAAGTATCTGCTTTGGGCAAACTCCTACAAAGTTAAAGCAACTATTTAAATAAAACTCAGAAAGCAAAACCTATTTTTGTGGAACATAAGAACTTTTTTTTTTTTTTGAAAATGAGAACAGTTTAATAACAGGGTCTGAAAAGCCTCTCTGGCCTTAAAAAAACCCATAAATTTAGAAGTGAGAGGTGGTCAGAACTTTCGAGCGTTTTACTGTGGCAGACTTTGCTGACATCCATGATAAGTCTCATACACACATGCAGCGATATTGTAACTACTGTTCCAAAATACTGCTAATTAAGACACAGGTGATCTGACACTGGCCTGTCATTCTTTTCATACCTACAGATATTGAGAAGCCACAGGCTGAGTGGCAAAAACTGGTTTTGTCAGGATACAAAAACAACCCACAATCAAGTTCTGATGAATATTGACACATTTGCAAAAGAAAACTCTAAGTCACCAGAAGAGCAGCATTCTATAAGAACTGTTATTTTTGGGTTGGTTGGTTTGTTTGGTGGTAGTGGGAAGGAAGAAGTCCATTTTGTTTTTAAACACACAGGTCATTTTTAAACAAAAAAATATTGTGACAGGAGATTAAGATTTCAATTTTGTTGACCATCCAGCTCCTGGAAAATTATGCAATAATAATAGTATTTCCAGGCACAGAAAATTCCTGGCCTCCAGGTATCTTTGTCAGTGGCAGAAGAACATTCCCCCTATACAGAACTATAAAGGAAAGGTCCTAAAATATAAACACTACATTCGCATGTTAGCTAACAAGAACAAACTAAAATAAATCCCTAAAAACAAACTAAAATTGCTAAACTAACTAAATTCCTAAACTAACTAAAAATAAATTCCTCCAAAATCTCTCCACACTTTCACACATAAAGGAAACCTATGAAAAGAAACTTACTCTGGTTCAATCACTCCATGTTGTGGGGTTATGGTAAGGCAGTGAGCTGGCCATGAAAGCTCAAATGTCAACATCCTGTTAGAATGGTTGATCACTTGTACATGTCCAGTGTCTGCTGTTCCACCTGTAATATAAAAAAAGCTGTAAAAAGCTAACATGTACAAAAATTCACAGAAGCACCCAAAATACAGAGAAGCACCAATTAAGATAAAGCATTTTCTGCCCTATTTTTACCTTCACAGTGCTTTAAAATCTCCATAGCTATGCAGCGCATATTATATGTATGTGCAGACAGAGAACACTACACTTCTAACACTTTAAGCAAGTGTTCAAACCAAGTTTACTGTTTAGATGTAAAAGTTACTGCAGCAAGATTATTGGCAAAGCCACATTCACAAACACAAAATAATTACAAACACAGTATGCAGTACAGTTATTTTAATACTAGAATGGTTATTTTATTAACTTCAAAAAATACTTACTAATAGAAGGAGATGTCAAAGTCAAGTACTCAGGTTTAACAGCCCAAGTCTGTTGAGCATCTGATTTATTCTGAACCAGATTATCAGTTTTTACAGGTAATGGAGGACCCTGAGGTCCTTTAACAGGAAGAACATCCAAAGTTGCACTGATATGTCGAACAGAGTTCTCCAATCTGAAAATCAGATTGCATTAAGCAAAAGTAGTCATAAAAATAACTTATGGGTAATTATAATAGATGACTTTCAGTATTTCTCAAAATTTAGTACTGAAATACAATGTTCTTTACATGGGCCTTCGATTTAATTACATTTTCCATTATTAAGAAAAAATTAGTTCAGCAGCTATATCATGACACAGCTTTTTCACAAAATGTTTAGAAGTGTAAGGTACCATTCAGAATGAAAGGTACTAAAATAAACAATTATCTTCAGATGCTAATAAAGTAAAATGCTTTCTCTATACATGTATCATTCAGATTAAGAAGGTACTGCAGAGAGAAATAAGGCAATGTTGCCATTCAAAAATGCTGGAAGTCAGTAGGGACCTCTGGAGACCACCTAGTCCAACACCCCAGCTCAAAGCAGGGTCAGCTAGAGCAAGTTACTCAGGGCATTGTCCAGTCGGGTTTTCAATTTCTCCACAGAGGAGGACTTTACAACCTCTCTGGGCAACCTGTTCCAGTGTCTGACCACCCTCACCAGAGAGAAAAAAAGTTTGTTTTTTTAAATGTTTAAATTGAATTTCTTGCATTTCAGTTTGTGTCCACTGCCTCTTCTCCTGTCACTGGACACCACTGGGAAAACTCTGTCTTCCTCTTCTTTACTTCCCTATTAAGTATTGATACACATCAATAAGATCCTCCTCCTGCTCAAGCCTTCTCTGCTTGACACTAAACAAACACAGCTCTTAGACTCTCCTTGCAAGATAGATGCTCCAATCCCTTCATCACCTTCATGGTCTAGCATTTCACAGAACCACAGAATCATTAAGGTTGGAAAAGACCTCTAAGATCATCAAGTCCAACCATCAACCCAACACCACCATGCCCACTAAACCATGTCCCGAAGTGCCACATCCACACATTTTCTGAACACTTCCAGTGATGGTGACTCCAACCACCTCCCTGGGCAGCCTGTTCCAATGTTTGACCACTCTCTCAGTAAAGACATTTCTTATAATATCCAGTCTAAACCTCCCCTGGCACAACTTGAGGCCATTTCTTCTCATCCTATCGCTAGTTACTTGGGAGAAGACACCAACACCCACCTCACCACAACCCCCTTTCAGGTAGTTGTAGAAAGCAGTAAGGTCTCCCCTCAGCCTCCTCTTCTCCAGACTGAACAACCCCAGTTCCCTCAGCCGTTCCTCATAAGACTTGTGCTCCAGACCCCTCACCAGCTTCATTGCCCCTGTCTGGACACACTCCAGCACCTCAATGTCCTTCTCATAGTGAGGAGCCCAAAACTGAACACAGTCTTCAAGGTGCGGCCTCACCAGTTCTGAGTACAGGGGCACAGTCACTTCCCTAAGTGATTTCACACCTTTGCTTGCAAAACACATGGCACATAAGCTCATATATGAAAGCCAGGAAGCTGTTATTTTAGGATGCAGCATATCTTCTTAAGTTAAAAGCTTAACTCACAACAAGTTTGATTTTAAGTACTAAAATAAAACCAGAAATCAACAATTAAAGGAAAAATAGGTAATTTTTGCTGCATACAACGTTGTGCAAATGTACAGTTCTTCTTCCTATTATTTCTACTTCTATTTTTAATGCTTCTGAGAATCTTGACTCAGTTCAGGATAGCTGAACTGAGAATTCATCCCTTAAGATAGGACTGGAACCAAGAAGGCAACTGATTCACATAATTCATTGATAGGGAATTTCCTATCAGTCAGATTAGTAATTAACATGTTCAGATCTCTTCTGAAATTAGTCTACTCAGAAAATGAAGATCCACATGATGCTTAGCCAGGGAATAAATTCAAATCTAGAAGAACTGATAAGGGTATTGAGTGGAAAAAAACAAACAAATGACAACCACAAAATAAGAGATATGTCCTGCTTGCTGCTGCAGACACTTGTTTCTAAGCTCTAGCTTCACAATCCCACTATGCCTGACAAACACCTTGCTAGCCACCAAATCTGTCAAGTGCCCCAAAGTGTTCAGCATCTGGAGTTCAACAGGTACAAGCAATTCCAAGCCAATAACTACATAAGTAGATGTTAAACACAACAGGACTAGGTAGGACCCTTTTGTCACCTGTGTAACAGGATCTTGAGAAGAAAAAACATGAAGACTCAAGAAACAACCTATGCAAATATATTCCTTATAGTATTAAAGTTAACCCATTTTTATTTTGTCGTTATGCTACGCTATCTTAGTAAGTAGGACTTGTATAGGATTTGGACATTTCTTTCCTTTTTCAGGGGTCCAAATGCTACAGCAACCCATCTAAACAGAATTGAGAGGTCTATTTTAAAGACCAGGTCTCTGCCAGTCCTCCAAAGAAATCCTCCCACTAATGGACCACTTCATTCCAGGGAGTGACCGGGTTGGATGTAGCCTCAGCACTGATCATTCTTTTGATGAGTCTAGTACACACTACACTGAAAGGCTAGCACATGGCCTGGACAAATCCACCCCAGACATCAAAAATTCATTACAAGGAAATAAGTGGTTATACTCTTATTAGGACTACAACAACAAATGCACTTTGGAAGTGACTATGGGAAAAAAACAGTTTCTTCAGCTGAAGAATAGGAAGTTGCAGATAAAATTAATGGTGTCAGCTGAAGGAATAGTTTAAAAGTTTACATAACAGTTTAAACAGACTATGTAGAGAAAAATAGTGAGAAGAGCCACCTAGATATTAATTGGAGCCATTCTCGTCACAGAGCCAGCTCTTTCAATTGTAAGGCAAGTCAATTTTCATCACTGACACTAAAATCTTCAATGAAAGGAGATGCACTTCAGCTAGGTGTTATTTGAGAGTTAGCTTTATAATTACATCACCTGTCTGATTCCAAATGACGTCCAGGAGACTGATGACATCCGTCCTGATCAAAAGTGGAATATCCAACCACAGAAAGGATAACCTTTCGCATATTTGCGTAGAAAAGATGGATATCATTTGTCCCCCGTGGGATATCGCATACTAAAAACGAAAGTAATAGAGCAATTCTAGTAAGAACAAATCTATAATACTCAGAAGTTACACAACAGAGATTTAGGATATAGACCTAGGTAATAATCTGTTGGCTAAGGTATCCTAGATAATTCAAAAATTACTTACTACAAGTTCGGTTATCAGGTATAAAGCAACATTAACATGAGAAGTAACATATAAATCTAAGTACACACTAATTTTAGCTTTTTAATTGTAAGATAGATGTTTTCCAACTTTATACAAATGATACAGACTAATCTGATTCTATGCCAAATTAAAGCATAGAGTTTTACTATTTTTAAAATTTTACTTTTTTTACCCTGACAAATAAGACTAATACATTCCTACAGCTTCACAGAAAGAGATTCAATGTGACAGAAGTTATTTTTCAATTACTCAGTCTATTCAATCTAACATTTCATTATTTAATTCATTATACCTGTAAATATTGAAAAGGTCAGGAATGTTAAAAGCATGATTTAAAATACTACAATGTTCCATCAAAATGTTTAATGATCAAGCCAGTTTTCTCCTTTGATTTAAGCCATTTCATGTTGCATAGACAGAATGAAGAAGTGAACAGTTCTCACAGAGGATACATTTGATCCAGCCATTATTTCCTTTGCTGCGTAGTAGATACCAGGGACAATTATTAATATTTGTATATAGCTTCTACAACTCAGCTATGGACAAGACAGAGCATCAAATGTTTTAGAAGTGCTTTTAGTTAGAGTTTACATGCATCTAGAAACCTGTTAACAAAGCAAAGTATTGAAAAAGGACGTCTAGCAGAATGTGGTTTTTTGAAGAAATAATTTCTTTATTCTGTCATGTATATAACAAAATTCAGTACAGAAAGATGTTCCTTCTTTAGAATGACCATTATTTCTACTCTAAGTTTCTTTTATTCCTTCCCCCACCTCCCAACTGAATTCCGTTCAGTTTGGGAAAACCCAATTTTCAAATATCCCATTAAAATACTTCACTCTTACAACCTATCTCATTTTCACCAACTTAAATTATCAAAATGGTTAGCTCATGATATCATTAGGGTAACTTTGAATGCCAAGGCCAACTCTGAATGCCAAGTGCACACAATTCCAGACCCAAAAGTGTCAGACCCAAATCAGAGCATGCAAACAGCATGATGGTGCCACCTTCACAATCACAACAGACAGAAACAGTTTTATACAAAGGCTTATATCCTATAAAATACAGTGAAGTACATCGTATGATACCTAGAAATGCGCAAGAGGATCTTGTGAAGAATACTTGATCAGAATTCCTTCCCTCCTCTTTAACAATACATCCATATGCTGACAAGAGGCTAATATGCACTGGAAACTAAATTCATTTTAACGACCCAAGTACAGAAGGCACAAAACATTTCAGACTGCTTTAGAATAAAAAAAGTCGCTAGATGTTAAATATCAACAACCACTGTGTCTGTTCAACTCGTAATTGAAGCATACCTTAGCAACTAGAAATACTTGATCAGTATGTGAAAATATTCGATTAGCACAGCAAAGCACATTAGTGTTAGGGAGTAACTTTATCTGGCAGCCTGGTGAGGCTGCCACGGGTCCAAGCAGTAGCAAGGCTGAGCACATGTTCCCAGTACGCACCCACTCACACGTGCACACATACAGAGCCAGCCACACAGACCAACACTCAGCACTCACACAAGCACCAACAGCACCAACAGCCTCATCCTCTCCCTCCCCTCCAGCTGATCAGGATGAAGGCTCATTACTGGGAACATACATATGTACAACATGGATCTCTCCAGCTGCTGGCCCTAGACCACACCACACTGATGCATCAAGTGAGCAGACTGGTGAAAAACTGATATCATGCTATTTCAAACACTAAGATTAGTATGTAACTTCTTAATAGGTTTTTCAAATATCTCTGAGGATTAAGGCAATGAAGAACGGAGACCAAAACAGTCTAGGGGTCCAACTTTACATTAAAAGCAATCCTTATAAACAAGGCATTCTATTCTTTGAGCTTTTTTTCAGCAACATCTCTTTAACAGTCTTTAATTTAAAAGGCCAAAAAGTAAAAAAAGCATTTAGATGTTGAAAAAATAACTTACTTTTACCCCAAAAGGGAGGGGGATCAGATTTCTTAATTCTAGGTACTACTATTACTTCCTGCAAAGTATTTGACTTACAAGAACATGTAACAAAACAAAACAAAACAACAACCAAAAAAAAAAAAAAATCTGTGGATATCCCCACTGAAAAGTCATTGACCAATAATCTGTGTAAAGTAAGATTGTACTATTCACACTGGACATCACTGGGTGACAAGAAGGTAAGGAAGGGCTTGAAAATTGTATCATCATAAAAATGAGTAAGAATAACCTAGTTTACTTTTCTAAGAGCTACTCTTCCAGCAGCACTCCTTGAAGGCATATCTGCAGTGTTATACAAGCCTGCCTCCCACTTTATTTATAACAATCTTCACCTTAAATTTATGGATTGAGTACAGAAAGTAGTACATAAGAGGGCAAGGATCTTTCATGTCCAAGATAAGTAAGTTTGAGTAAATAAAACAATTGTGACCAAATGGGGAACAATAACCTATATTTCACAAATTCAGGAAAGTACACTCTCAAAGAGAGAGAGAAAAACATGAAGATGCAAGATGTAGGCCTTGTTTTCTACAGAAAGAAAAAAAAGTTAAGCTACCATTAGCAAAACTCTAGTAATAAGGCAGTAAGAGATAATCAAGGATGTCTAGGTTCTGGCCTAACAACTTCAGAGCATACTCCAGAACCCAAGTATCTTATCTTCACTAGGATTTCACCTCAACCAAGATGAATGATCAACAATCTTTACTTTTCCAAGTAAAGACAACATACAACCTATCGAGGAAGACTCAGACTACAACATTTATTCAGGTGTAGTAGCCTTACAATAGTAAAATCTTTCCACATGTGAATAGAACTAGTTCAAGAAACAGGCTTTGACAGTAAACTTCTTCATGACACACAGTTTGGGGAGGGTGAGTTGTTTGGGGTTTCTTGGGGGGGTGTTTTTATTTTTTTTAAGGACAACTTTACAATATACTACATTCTTTTACAATAATTTCCTTGCTAACACAAGCAGAAGTACAAAAAAAAGAAGTTACTTAATTTGGGAAGGGAAATAGGCATTTTAATGTCAGCAAAGTTGTCTGCCTCTCAATTTTCAAATATAAGATATTTCTGTGTACGAGAAACTGAATCCTTCTCAATTATTAATAAGGCAAATACTCTCCAAATAAATGGAGCATTTTTAATGCTACAACATTCATAGGCTGGGGTTTCATTTTGCTAGGAGAAAAGTACAGTAAATTGTTTAAGTAGACAGGCATTAAACAAAAGAAAGCAACTTCCATTGTGGTGGGTTGACCCTGCACCAGGTGCCCACCAAAGCCACTCTATCACTCCCCTCCTCAGCTGGACAGGGGAGAGAAAATACAATGAAAGGCTCATGGATTGAGGTTAGGACAGGGAGAGATCACTCAGCAATTACCGTCACAGGCTTGTGGAAATTAATTTATTGCCAATCAAAGCACAGCAGGATTAATGAGAAATAAAAAATCTTGAAAAAACCTTCCCCCCACCCCTCCCTTCTTCCCAGGCTCAACTTCACTCCTGATTTTTCTACCTCCTCCCCTCTGAGTGGCACAGGGGGACAGGGAATGGGGGTTGTGGTCAGTTCATCACACGTTATCTCTGCCACTCCTTCCTCCTCAGTGGGACTCCTCC